TGTGAGAGCCCGGCCCAAAAAACCCATTCCATGAACACCCTTCCTCCTACCCATCCGGAAAACTGGGCGGAAATGTCACAAAAGGATTGGATAATGCATGGAAGTGGCCGTAAAAAGGGGGGAGGCCTGGCCTGTTTTGGGTCTGGTAGGGTGGGGTGGGTGGTGTGGCTGAACAACGTGGCGCAACAGTTGATTGCCATCAATGAAGATTATGTAAATCAAATTGTCCAAGAATTTGCCGCCGTGTGCAAATGGTTATCAAATGGGGCACGAAATTATGGAAGCAATTAAAATGGGGTCCCAATTTATGCACATATATAAGGAGAAATATAGAGAGATGCGACTTAGCACTACAAATCTTTAAAGATAATCATCTTTAAGATCGAACTTGGAAAATATATACCATAACGATACAGGTATCCTATATTCCGCGTAAGAATCGGTAAAGAATTGCCAAAGATAGGGGTCATATAATGCTTCATATGCATTTTCCGATGTTTGAGGAGGACCTACCGAAAATATTCACAAAAATTGTAAAGTATTTTAGTGTTAAATTTTGATGACAATTAATGATGAATCTAGATACCCCCTAGAAAATTTAAGATGATCTCTTGATAAATTCTCAACATTTTTGAATGCTCGCTTTTCAGTTAATAAACAAAACTGAAGTGTTTTATTAAATGGTTTACATACAAAGATTTAATAAGGTTTAATATTTATATTTTAAGAACAAATTACTCCAATACTCAGACACAAAATTGACAAGTCTTCAGTAGTGTTAAGGCAGGATTCAGGTAATACTACCGATCCTGGACCAAAGCAATAATCAAATAAAACACTGATATTCACACATAGCGCTTGTACACACACATCCAGAGGTTCTGGTTCTGATGTACTAGATTTTGGTGGTAAATAAGTTGGTGGTGGTGTTGGAGGTCTAGTTGGTGGTCTAGTTGGTGGTCGAGTTGATGGTGGTCTCTGAGCCACTACCATTCCCGATAGGAGAGCCAACAAAAGCCAACCAGTTAGTCCAAGAAAGCGCATCTTACTGTTGCTGTTACTGTTTTGATTGTTTCAAGCATCTAGAATGCATCTTATATAGTGCTGGCCTTATCATAGATAGCAGAGGTCACTGTGGCCCTAATCTTGTATTATCTGCCAAGATCCATCATAGGTCTCTTAGAATCTTATCCAGAATTTCTTAAACCGCACATGCCAAAATTATAAAGCTTATCTTTTCTTTGCTTCTTGTTTTGTTTCAAGAATATCTAAATACAAATTTGTACATATTTTTATTATAGAAGAGTAACGAATTTAAAAAGCATTAGAAGTAAACTTTGATTGAAAAATTTAAAATTTTAAGCAGATCGATGAAGAATCGATCTACAAATCTTTAAAGGTATCCCTCTTAAGACTCCGAAACGAATTGGCGAAGGTATAGCCTCCGATCTGGGCAATACTGTGCCCCCATGCATTTTCCAGAATTTGGAGAGACCCCTCAGAAAATTTGACGAAAAATCTAAAAATTATTTTGTTGCTAGATTTTGATGCAGATCAATGAAGAATCGATTTACGAATCTTTTAAGGTATCCCTCTTAAGAATCGGTAAGGAATTGGCGAAGATATAGCCTCCGATCTGGGCCCCCGTGCATTTTCCAGAATTTTGAAGGGGACCCCTCAGAAAATTTGACAAAAAATCTAAAAATTATTTTGTTGCTAGATTTTGATGCAGATCGATGCAGAATCGATCTACGAATCTTTTAAGGTATCCCTCTCAAGAATCGGTCAAAAATGAGCGAAAATATAGCCTCGGATCTGGGCCATACTGGGCCCCCATGCATTTTCCAGAAATTTGAAGCGGACCCCTTAGAAAATTTGACAAAAAATCTGAAAAATATTTTGTGGCTAGATTTTGATGCAGATCGATGCAGAATCGATCTACGAATCTTTTAAGGTATCCCTCTCAAGAATCGGTCAGAAATTAGCGAAAATATAGCCTCCGATCTTGGCCATACTGGGCCCCATGCATTTTCCAGAATTTTGAAGGGGACCCCTCAGAAAATTTGACAAAAAATCTAAAAAAAGTTTTTTGGTAGATTTTGATGCAGATCGATGGAGAATCCATCTACGATTCTTTTGAGGTATCCGTCTCAAGAATTGAGGGGAATACAAATATGAATTGGCAGATATATAGCTTGGAATGCGAGTCCTATTGCGCTCCCCATGCATTTCCAGTCAAATAAATCATATTGGTTTGGTTTAAAATTAAGTGACTGGTTTTAATTTATAACAGCAATATTAAAGCATTTTAAGGCTATTTTAAAGAATAATAATTTATAATAATTTTTAATAATTAAATAATAATAAAATAATAATAAATTTGATGCGAATTTCATCTTAAAGCCTTTGCAAAGCCATAAAGTGGACTTAAATTTTGAATTGAATGATTGAAAAGGAGTCACCTCAAGGCTCTTCCTGCGATAAATTAATACACCATTTTCCACTCACTGGCAGACGAAAAACACACAGACACTTTTGTCAAGGCTTACAGAGAGAAAAATTTTATAAAGAATAAGAAAAACATTATTTTATTTTTAAGAAAACACTTTTTTTTTTAGAAAATAAAAGTTTAGAATTTATAAACTACAAAAATAATTCAAAGTAAACTTTTTTTTATAGGTTTGCAAAAATTTCTCTCAGTGCCTTGTCAGACAGATGAGTGTTCCTCTCTCGTACAACTGTCTGTGCATTGTCAGCAAGTTCATTTCCGCTGTGGCCACACAAAATGGCGTGCAAAATGGAAAAACAATGGGAGATGTGCGAGAGAGAGAGAGAGAGAGAGAGAGAGAGATTTGTGCGGTAATAGAAAGAGACGGGTGAGTTCTCAGGTTGATAGGCAACATTAACACGCATACAGTGTAATTCTGTGGCATCTGTGGGATTGTCAGGCTTCGGGATTCCGCAGCCGAGAGGATTCAGGACTTTGGACAGCGACAATTGCATGTGTAATTTGTGTTTAGTGGTCTGGAAATAAAAGTGCCTTGTGTCCAAGGCCCCCCCGACACAGACCACCAGGTAAAATATTCTGAATGGATATAGTATTTTTTAAAAGTAACTGAAGTATTTTATTACAAGTTTTACATAGGATAAAATCTTTAAAGATTTCACATGGGTTAATGTTTAAATTTTAGGAACAGATTCCTCTAATATCTAAAGCAAGATAATGGTAAGTTTGCTAATCCCAGACCAAAGCAATGATCTTCTAAAACACTGATATCGAGACATACATCTTTTACACAGATTTGCAGATCTACAGGTAGTTCTGTTGGTTCTGGAGTTGGTCGTGGAGATGTTGATCTCTCAGACACTACCATTCCCGATAGGAGAGCCAGCAAAAGCCAACCAATTAGTCCAAGGAAGTGCATCTTACTGTTGCTGTTACTGTTACTGTTTTGATTGTTTCAAGCATCTAGAATGCATAATACCCTTTGTAATACCCATAATAATACCCTCTGTAAGGGTATAATGAGGGATATTATAAAAAACAATTTAATATATGATTTAATTTAAGAACTTATATGAAATTCGTGTTAAGGTTAACCTTAAAGCCTTTTCAAAGCCATTGATAAGTTTCTCTCGTCCAACTAAAAAAATATTTTGCTGCATTTAAAATACATAAACATAACCGTAAAACTCAAGTATTTAATTAAAATTTTAAAACAATATTTTATTATTTATTTATTAAACAATTCTTTGTACAAATTCCGTTCAAACGACTCCAAAAAAAACACAAACATTTAGGTTTTAATCCAGCTTGCGTAGCAAGACAAGGTTGTGGTAATACTATTGAACCGCCACCAGAGCAAAAATCCTCTACAACATCGACACCGATTTCACATAGAGCTTTCACACATAAACGTATTTCATCCGGCTCAGACGTATTGCTTTGTGGTGGTTTATGAGTTGGTGTAAGACAGTCTAAGAAGTCATCTTGAGCTGAACTGAGGTCTACAACCACCCATGATAGAAGAGCCAGCCAAAGCCAACCAGTTAGTCCAAGAAAGCGCATCTTGCTGTTGCTGTTACTGTTACTGTTTTGATTGTTTCAAGCAGCTAGAATGCTTTTTATATAGAGCTGGCCAAGAGCCTTATCATAGATAGCAGAGGTCACTGTGGCCCTAATCTTGTATTATCTACCCAAATCCACCATAGGTCTTCTAAAATCTTATCCAGAATTTGCAAAACAGCACATGATAAAATTATAAAGCTTATCTTTTCTTTGTTTCTTGGTTTGTTTCAAGAATATTTAAATAAAGATTTGGGTTTTTTATTTGTATTATGGAAGACTGCCTTTTAGAAGAATTGGAAGTAAAATTTGATTGTAAAATTTAAAATTTATTTCTAACATAACCTAACATATCCAAACGTGTCCTAAGCGGCCCTGGAGTGTCCTGGGCTGTGCTTTCCTCAGAGTTTCTTAACATAATAATCACACATGATGCAAATATTAAAATATCATCCAATTTGTTGATCATCAGCTCATTTTTTTTATATTTAAATATTTGTTTACTTAAAAACAGCTGTTTAATCATTTATTTTATATAAAAACATATATATAAATTTTTTAATGCAATATTTACCTAAAACATACGCGTACTTTAAAAATATTTACAATTTTGAAGAGAAGTTTGTAAAATATTGGTTTTGAGAGAGAACACAAGATATGAAAACGTTGTTTTAATGTTTGATATTTTCTTTAAAGAGAGCGAGAGTTTTTTCTCAAAAAACATACCAACTGTTTTTTTTTTTTTAATTTTTGTCGATTGAAATGCCGTCAAATTTGACGACTATTGTTTTCATGTAGACATTTGTTTTTGCAGATTTTTTTGTTAAACAATTTTTCTCAAACCAGGCTTGGCCTTCGCTTAAGCAAATATTTCGGGGCCTGAAACTTTGACTATAAATTGCCACGATATGTTAGACGATCGCCTCATTGTTAATATAGCAACGTTTTAGAAAGCAAATCCAGAAAAAAAATGAAACTAAATAAACTATTGTTGGCATTTATGTGCCTGGGACTTTTTACAGTCCTGGTGGTGGGCGCTGATACCGATACCGATACCGATGATTCTGATGATACGGCCGCCAGTACCGAGAACGAGTCCACAGATGCCTCCACCACCGGATCATCGAGCACAACGGCACCAGATGCCTCGGGCTCAGATGTGGATGATACCGGCAGCAGTACCGATGACGTGGATAGTGATTCTGGATCGGATTCTGACTCCGACTCGGATAGCGATGCGGATGAGGGCACGGACACAGAGCCAGCCACAACAGCAAAGCCAAAAAGGAAGAAGAACAACAACAACAGGAGGAAGAACAACAAAAGGGCGGCCAACAAGAAAAAGGCGGCCAACAACAACAACCGGAAGAAGGCGGCCAACAAGAAGAGGGCCACCAACAACAACAGCAACAGACGTCGCAACAACAACAACAATCGTCGCACCAACAACAACCGTCGCATCAACAACAAGGCCAGAAGGCGTGGTTGAAAAAAAAACCAACAAAAATATTTAAAATTTGAAAAATATTTCCAACAATATAGTTTTGTTCAATAAATACATTTTTTTTATTGTGTCAGAATTAAATAATTGATTGGTGTATTGGTGTGATTGGAAATTCGAAATATGTAGCATACAATTTGGCGCCCAAACGTGGTGCTTTTATGCTTTCACTTGAATAACAAAATGCATACCATTTTCAACAGAGCGGAAATCAAATTTGAAACAAAAATTCCTCACAAAATTGCAAATAAAAATAAATCAAAAGCCGATTTTGTAAACAAAATTCCAGAAAAGCTTAACAAAACACCCACAAGACAAGCAATTTATTTAAAATTCCTTTTTAAGGCCAAAAAGGCTAAAACCCCAACAGGTGTCGATGACTTATCAATGGCTGGATTTTAAACTATCACAGCCCACAATATCTGTTCAATTATCCACAGACCGACCGACCGACCCACAGACCGAAAGCCTTTGAGGGTCATCCTTGTCTAACTTATTCAAGTTTCAATTTTCTCCCTTCGACTACACTTCGACGACTGGTAGACATACACACACTAAACACCCACCACTAACCAAATCAACCCAACCCCACCACCCACATATATTGAGTTTGTTTTTGGAGGAAAATCAACAGATTCTCGTCCTGCGGTTGTCTGAAAGTTTCTGTCGCTTTAACTTTTCTAATTCGATTAAGTCGGCTAACTGCAAATTGATTTCATTGTAAGTCGCTAATTGGCTGACTTCTTCAGTGTCGTCTCAGTGCGGCCCAAAACTTTTCAGTTTGGCTTTGTAGTTAAGTTTAGTCTTGTTTTTTTGGTTAAGAAACTGGCAAACACACGAGGATAATGACGCATCCGATACGTTAATTGACGAACACATCACTCAAGTTAGTTAGAGAAATTGTCCAAAAACAATTGTCCAAATATTGCCAAAAAAATATACATATATGTGGGAACGATAATTAGACCAGCTTCGGTTTTATTGTTCTTTAAAATTGCAAAATTTCTATTTGTCAAGTTTTTTTTCGGTTTTTTTTTTTAAGCGACCCACTTGAAGGTTGTCTGTCTAGGTTTTGCTTTTACTTTCTTCTTTCTGCTCGGCAATGGAAAATTTTACTTAATTTGAAGACAAATAGTTTTACTAATTGATGCGATTGTTGTAACAAGTGCTTTGTAGCCTCAAGGCTCAAATAGATAGAGATAGTGAGAATCTTTATAGATTCAAGGGGCAGGGACTTAAATATAAAGTTCCCGAAACATATACTATGTTTTAATAATGATTTTATGAGGGACTCTCGTGCATCTGTATGTTTGTCTTAAAAAGAGATATAGCTTTTGAACCTCAAATAGGTTAAGATATAATATGGATCTTATGGATATAGTCTTGCATCTGTATAAATAAACTAAAAGACCCAATAGATATAGATAATGGGTGTTTTTTGTGGATTATATAGGAAGAGTTTTGGAGTCTCAAGTATAGAAAATATATATTTAAATATTTAAATATTAATAATCATAAAATTAGGATCAAATACCGCCTCACTTACCGAACATTCGCCAAGGTGTGTCGTCGGTTCTTAAGATAACGACTATGATACTTTTGTAGGTCCCCTATGGAACCCTGCTCCGCCTGCATTTTGCCGGAGGGCAGGAGCTGGGTGGCCGAGCCACTCGGATGGGAGGTGGCTAGGGCGGAGGCCGAGCTAGAGCTGAGCCGGTGATGAGCGGCAACGCTGATGCTGCTGCTATTTTGGGTGGCGGTGCCGGTGCCGGTGGTGCTGCCGCTACCGCTACCAGCGCCACAGGAGGCCAAAGTTTCGTTCGAATTGCTTCCAATAACAGTTGAGGCGGCCGAGGAGCCGGCGTTGGAGCCGATGGGAGCAAGGACGATGCGCGACCAGCAGGATTTGTGCGGTTTCCGGAACTTGAGTTTAATGCGCGGCGAGGGAGTCGAAGCAGAGCCTAGAAATTAAAAGTCTTAAGTATCTGGCGTTGTATAGATCTCTCTTTGGGGACTCACCTGCTATGTAATCCTGTCCTGCCTGACTGCCTTGACTGGGCCCAGCGCCCTGCGACGAGGAGGTGGCCGAACTGTGGTGGATGCTCTCGCAGCTGCCACAATAGCCTCCGGCTATGGTTATCGGCGGCAAGTGAGGCTCCTCCTGGCGCTGTAGCTTGGCGCTATTGGCCTGCTCCGATTCCTCCTCCTCCTTGATGTGTGGCAAGGGTGAGGTCTGCGGCTGGCAGGTGCACCGCTGGCTCTGATTCTGATTCTGACTCTGGTTCTGGTTCTGATTGGGATTTGTGTTTGGTGTTTGGTTTTGTGACTGATTTGGGTTGGGATTGGTACTCGGATTTGTGGGATTGCTGTAGAGTGTGGTTACTTGGCTGAGCAGATTGTTGTTCGTATTTGTGGTGGTTATGATGGTGGGCAGTAGTGGCTGCTGTTGTTGTTGCTGGTTTTGGGTCTGTTGGTGTTGCACCACTGCGGTGGGCGAGACGCTGGCGTCACTGAGCGTTTCCGGTTCCGCTCGACGAGCCACCAGACCGCTGGCCAAACTGGCGGCCGCTATATCCGCTGCACTTAGCTGCTGGTCCACTTCCGCTTCCGCTCGCAGTTCCGCCTCGACGTCACAGTCGTTGATTAGGGTCTTGAGGGAAATGGGCGTGGTCACCGACGTATTAATCGTGTCGGCCAGCGAATGCTTCTTCTCGCTATAAAGTAACTCCTCCTTGGAATCGGGACTTAGTTTCTCCGATTTAATATAGTCCTTGGACAGATCCTGCTTATCCTTCTGATGATGACAGTAGGCAGCGTCGTTGTCGTCAGCGTCGTCACCGGCGCCAGCGCCGTCCGTCGGCGTCTGGGCGTTGGGAGTTTGGGGCGGACTTGTGGCGGGGGCTGCGGATCCGGAGCCCCCGCGACAAGGGAGGCAACACCGAAACACTGTGCTACCGAACCACTTTGTTCGCTTCCCCTTCCGCTTGCTGCCACTGCTGCCGCTACTTGTGATGCTCGCCCGGTCACTCCCACTGTTGCACCCGTCCCCTCCGACACAGCCAACCACGCCCCCTCCGCCACTGCCGCCGCTGCCGCCGCCCCCTCCAACGCCTCCACTGGCTGCCAGGCCGTTGGCGTTGCAACTGTCACCTAAGCTGCTCCTTCGCCTTCCTGCCCGGTGCAAGTTTTCCTGTCCAAGGAAACAAAATCAAATATTTATATTAAATCTTAAAAAAAAGGGTGGACAATTTCTATGGAAATTGCATGAAAATCATAGGAAAATATTTAGAAAAGCAACATCTGCCACCTTGGCCGCATTCTTATTAAAGGAGAAGCCCTGCGTAAAGCGCGCCAAACGCATCATTCCCACGGGAGACGGGGAGCTATCTTTTAAGAAGCATTCTAGACATTCTTTCTAAATAGAGATCTGCAAAGAGACAGAGAAAATAACCATGTATTAGAAAGGTGTTTAAAACTTTAAGACTTATGTAATATATGAGTAGAGGAATGAACAAATATTTAAAAAGGAAATATTATAAAGAATATTATTTAAAACAGGCTAAGAACACATTGTAATACAAGCTTGGAACCCTTAGAAAGTGTTAGAGAAATATAATAGACTATGGTACTTCATCAAGGACAAAATAGATATAGCAATATAAGCATAAGAGTGGATATATTTTAAATACTTTAAGCTTTTTTATAATTAATATGATGTTATTTTAAATTCTATAAGAAATACTTTGTAATGGGACATTTAAAGATATTATATTATATATTATATTCAAGTCAAATATAAAAAAGTATTTATTTAAAAAAAACCTAATTTTTTTTTTAAGTTTATAAAATTAATATGAATAATATTAATATTATCTACACTGTTATAAGAATTATAATGTCTGAGAACCCTAATATCTACTTGAGTAGCTTTGTAAAGGCCTGGACATGGACAATGTAGATCTAAGAGATAAGATATTTAAGAACCCATTGATTAATTCTAATATTGTTCTTGTGGCCCATCAATATTTATGATTTATTGAATTATAAAGAAAATAGCTCCTTAGTAAAATAAATAAATATTTATAGAAGTTTTTTCTTTAAATAAATTTTTCAAGGATTTTTGAATAACTTTTTTAATTTAAGTAGAATGAAGTATATGTCAAAATATGTAAAATATATATATTTTCTTAAGAAATATTGCCCTCTTTAAAACTAAGTAAATATTTAAATTACTTTTCTATTTAAACTCCTTTCTGTAAGCCCCCTTCTAAGCTCCCCAAAAGCCCCCCAATTAATTTACATTAAAGCTACCACCTACTGGGAGGGTTGGCTTGGGCTGCCACCTTTCCCCAAAAACTCCAACCCAGCTCCAACCCCCCCAAAAGTATTCCACGACGCACACGGACCAGGTGTACAAGTGGAAGAGACGGGCCGGGCTTGGATGTATGTAGGTTAGTCACATATTTGCCCACATTTGCGAGCAACATCCGCCTCTCGCTTTTCGCATTTCCCAGGGACACACGGCAGCTGCACAAACTGACCCACATGCCGGGATATTACGTATATGTATATATATAGTATACTATATACAGTGTGTATCTCTATACCTTTATCCGTAGACGTATCTGTATCTTGAGTGCTGTATCTTGCATCTGTATGCCTGTAGAGTTTTCGGCAACTGTTTGGCGCTCGTCAGCGAATTGCCTTAATTAGTACATTGTCGGTGCTGGCTGGGAATAGGAAATAATGCCGACTATCGAGTTAAGGTCTCTGATAATTACAATCCTGCCCTGGCTGCTCATCTGCAAGCTCTTCTACCGGGTGGAGGACTTTACCGAATCGGATATATTCTACAACAGTCTGGACTATCATCCTGAGGATTATATAGATAGTTTTACGACTCAACAGCTGGATGATTACTTTCTTTATTAAGTTTTATATATTTTTTTTTGTGTTTTTAAAATGGAAAAGTTTTTATACGTTTTTTTTTTTAATGTTAACTACATTTTTAAGTGAAAATTTAGTCTATTTTGGACTTGTTTTTTAAACAAGTAAAATTATCAAAAATAAACCTTTTTAGAAAAAATAGAAGGGGTAAACAATGTTTAAAAATAAAAATAAATAAAAGTTAGGCTTTAAAAATGTAAAATTTTGATTGTTTTCATTTTCGAAAATATTTTTAGGGTGAAATATAGCCTATTTTAAGATAAAAAAAAAATACGGTTTGGTTGCATTTTGTAGTTAAATTATTAAAAAGAAATGAAGGCCTCAACAATGATAAAAATAAAAAAAATAAATTAGAATAAAGAAAATAGTTTTGCAAAAAAGAAATTGTCTTTTTGGGGCTAAGATATAAATTAATTGTTTTTAGTTAATTATAGAAATATATTACTATTATTAGAAATAAACATTTTTAAGGTAATGAAAGGCATAATAAATGATTAAAATAAAAAGAAACCAAAAGTTAATAAGAATGGAGTATAAAAATAATGTTTTTCTTCAAACTTAACAATTACTTTTATTACCAAAAAAAAGAGTTAAAAGTTTTCATAAGTCTCTCTTAAAAAGCCCTGTCAGTCTCTACAAGCTTTTAATTTGTAGTTTTTCTTCATTATTTACTTAAAAAACATATGGTTCTAGTTCGTTTAAAATTGTTTCAAATTTAGCCAAAGAGTATACTTCACTCAAGTAACTATCTCCTTGATGTCAGCCGTACAATATGCGGCAGCGGAATACAACCAAAAGCCTTACGAAAATAAGCTTCAAAGTATACATTTTCTAATATGTTTAAAAACATATTATGGTTTATATTAAGCTTTTGATTTCAAAAATCAATTCAACTAACCAACCAAAGAACTAAACAAATAATTAAAACAATGACAAATATTTAAAACAGAAAATCAAACAATAAAACCGCCACTGTTTGCGCTCCTCATCTTTATTGTGTTATTAAGCGTAAATTAAACACGAAAACCTATTGATTCAATATTTGAAACACAAACACGAATGCGACTACGAATGCCAATAAAATATTTGATGAGCACAATAATTGTGGTAATCGAAAATGTTTGCTTTCGAGGTGTTTTCATTGGGAGAGCCTGATTGAAACATTATTTCTGTAACAGGTGGGGCATGTAATTTCTGCAAATATTTTGTAAAATTTGCATTTGAATAAAAAAATTAATAAATTTACATATGAAAGGGCTTTGAATTTAACAAACTACTTGAATATTACCTGATCTTAATATTTCTTCTCGCAAAAACAAGACTCTGCCTAGCAAGAAGACTCTAGAGTCTAGACCATACCACCTGTCAAAGTCTAAGCCGCCACGCGAAACTCAAGTTTTTCGCAAAAAAACTTAAAAACTAAAATAAATAGTAACCGCCAAAAAATGACACAATTTGCGAAAACAGTCCAAACAGAAGAAAGTAATGCCAATTGTTAATTAAACAAAGATTCGCAAATAGGAGTCAACAGAGCCATAGTTCCGACTATAAAAGAACCCCGGAGATCTTCCGAAGAGCATCAGTCACTCGTCTTTGAACAGTCCCACAACATGAAGATCTGCTCCTTTGTCTTCCTGGCCCTCCTCGGCTGCGTCCTGGTGGGTGAGTCCCAGGCGGCCACCGCCACGACCACCACCACCTCCGCCTCGGCCACCACCACCACCGCGGCGACCACCACCGCCGCCTCCGCCGCAGCCTCCGGCAGCAGCACCACCACGGAGACCACCACCACCACCACCGCCAAGTCCGCCGCGGTTGTCAAAAAGAAGACGATTAGAAAGATGAAAAAGAAGACGAAGAAGGGACCGAAGAAGCATATAATAAAACGCCATCGCAGAGGAGGAAGGCGCAGCGGAAGAAAGGGCAGGAAGGGCAGCTGGCAGGACGACGACTCCGAATAGAACATCACCTCAAGAACCTCCTAGATCCCTGACTACGGTATCGCTTAACCCCAGCAACCTTCCACCCGACTACTGATTTGATAATTTTTTTATTTCGTTTAGAATCTTTTTTTTTTAATTCTAAGGCCATAAAAAAAATAAAATAAATAAAATATGTGTTATATATATATTTATTAAAAAAAAAAATAATCGAATTTTGTAATTTATTGAATGACAACAGGGCGGCTACTCAATATTCCAAATATTTCAAACGCCACCTGCTGTTGACGTTTTCATATTTTGGAATACATCGATTTTAATAAATATTTATAATTTTTTGCTTTAAAAATGTAACTTTTTTTTTTAGTTATAAGTTTTAGTTAGTTATAAGTTGGTACATTTTTGTATATATTTGAATATATTTTTTTTAGACTGGATACAAAAATGTTTACCATACAATTAATTGAGTTCCCCTTGTCCTTGGGAAAGGACTCATATTACTGAAATTATTAAAAATATTAACAAATATTTTACACTCTGAAGGCCGATTGTTAAACCATTAACTATTTATTATATTTAAAATATTTAAATTTTTTTGTTAAAGTATCCCGCTTAAGGATCGGATCAATATCGGCGGAGTTATAGCCTACGCTGGGGACCTACTGGGATTCCCGGTGTTTTTGAAGTGTTTGTTTTTGAAAAATCAAAATAGTCCGGCATTTTGATGCAGAATTGCAGAGAATCGATCTAAAAATCGTTTAAAGTATCCCGCTTGAGGATCGGATAAATATCGGCAGAGTTACAGCCTTCCCGGGGGCCATACCGGCCAATTGTTACATCTCTCAATTAGGTAAAGTGTAAAGTACAAAAAATTAAATGATTTAAATTTTTTGTAAAATAATCTTTCTTCTTGCTTATCGACCCATAAATATATTTGTGTTTACGCTAGCCCAGCGTATTATAATTTAAGCTCGAAGGTACGAGTCGCAGCGACCGTATTAGGTCGGGCTATATCCCATAGCTGGTCTATAACTGAACTTTGTTATACAAAATCAGGGTTTTTATAAAATTCTCATAATGATCACACACCAACTTTGTCCTATATTGAATGATTGTTTAATGTAAAGAAAACTTTGAAGATGTTTTAGATTCTAAAACATTTATCATCTCATTTAGATGATTTTTAGAAATTTCTAAGTAATTTCCATTCATAGATTCTTAGCAATATTGTGAATTAAACATTAATTATGACGGAAGATAACTCATTAAAGTTTCCATTATTTTCTTTATAAATATATATATATTTTTTTTTTTTATTTTTTGTGAATGCCTTTTTTAGAATAAGAAAAAAAGATCAGAACTTTTTACTAAAAAATAGGTCGAGTAACTAATACTAATAGACAGGTCGAGTGGAAGGTTGCTGGGGTCAAGGGATACCGTGGTCAGGGATCTAGGAGGTTCTTGAGGTGATGTTCTATTCGGAGTCGTCGTCCTGCCAGCTGCCCTTCCTGCCCTTTCTTCCGCTGCGCCTTCCTCCTCTGCGATGGCGTTTTATTATATGCTTCTTCGGTCCCTTCTTCGTCTTCTTTTTTGTCTTTCTAATCGTCTTCTTCTTGACAACCGCGGCGGACTTGGCGGTGGTGGTGGTGGTGGTCTCCGTGGTGGTGCTGCTGCCGGAGGCTGCGGCGGAGGCGGCGGTGGTGGTCGCCGCGGTGGTGGTGGTGGCCGAGGCGGAGGTGGTGGTGGTCGTGGCGGTGGCCGCCTGGGACTCACCCACCAGGACGCAGCCGAGGAGGGCCAGGAAGACAAAGGAGCAGATCTTCATGTTGTGGGACTGTTCAAAGACGAGTGACTGATGCTCTTCGGAAGATCTCCGGGGTTCTTTTATAGTCGGAACTATGGCTCTTTTGACTTCTATTTGCGAATCTTTGTTTAATTAACAATTGGCATTACTTTCTTCTGTTTGGACTGTTTTCGCAAATTGTGTCAATTTGTGGAGCTTACTATTTATTTTAGTTTTAAAGTTTTTTTGCGGAATTTTTAAGCTTCGCGTGGCGGCTTAGACTAGAACAGAGTCTTGTATTTTCAAAAAGAAAACTTGAAATCAAATTTTACTCATATATTGGAAAGCGAAACATTTTTGTATCCTTGCAGAGGATTACCCAGGAAAGGTGACATATCCGACCTTATATATATATATCAGACCTCCTGTCGAGCCAACCAAAGAACGCTGGCCGCATGACGTACGGCTCGCGAGGATAGATCCGTGAGAGTAAAGAAAAGTGTAGAAGTTTACGAAAAAGAGTGTTACTGAGCTAAGACGTTAATAAAATAAGTTTTTAAGTTAGATAACGAGAAAATTAAAAGCGAATATAGATTCGTGAAAAACATTACGTCCTGAGTATAATTTCAGCATATCGTTCTGTCTAATTCTACGCTTGAGCTTTCAGTTCTACGGTCTGTCTTTTAGTGTTAAGGCCAATATACTAACCGATCGGGCATGTCATGTCTTTTGTGTTTTTAGGACATTATTTAGATAATAAAACAGCGAAAATTATTCAGAAGAAAGTTTTTCAATTTTATCGTTTCCTATAATATAAAATTCCGATTTTTGGACTGAAACCTCACTCTCGAACTGGTTGTGAATGAAATAGTGAAATTTTTCGATCGAAAGCGATTTCTGTAGCAGCCATGCATAATAACTATAAAATAGTTCCATCGTTGACATTTCCCTTGATTTTTCGTCCTTTAACATTTAGTGTTGTAAAGCGTTAATTGATTTGACAAACACATGTTTTAATATTTTTAACCTTTTTTCAATTCTTGTTGCAAGTCCATTCGAGACATTTATGAATGAAAGTGGAGGAATAAACCATGACTTGGATATATCATAGATTATAATTTAAATTTTGCAGCTGATACAAGCTACCAAAATTTATAAACATATAATTTATTTTATCTTCAACATTTTCTAGACAACAGGAGGAGATACGAGACCCTAGTCACCGTGTAAGGGTAAACACTACGTTTGTTACTCAACACTGTTCCACCCACAACCTTTCATTTTGGTCGACAAGGCTACCTTATAGCTATTGTGCACTTAAAGATAAGAATAACAGTAAATTCCTTTAAAATTAAATTTTCAATACTTTTCATTTTGTATATTTATTTTTTTGTATTATTTTTTGTCAATGCCTTAAAAAAAAGTTATAAAACTATAAACTAAAATATTTAAACATATCTAGTCAGTGGTCGAGTGGAGAAGATGCTGGGGTCAAGGGATACGGTGGTCAGGGATCTAGGAGGTTCTTGAGGTGATGTTCTATTCGGAGTCGTCGTCCTGCCAGCTGCCCTTCCTTCCCTTTCTTCCGCTGCGCCTTCCTCCTCTGCGATGGCGTTTTATTATATGCTTCTTCGGTCCCTTCTTCGTCTTCTTTTTTGTCTTTCTAATCGTCTTCTTCTTGACAACCGCGGCGGACTTGGCGGTGGTGGTGGTGGTGGTCTCCGTGGTGGTGCTGCTGCCGGAGGCTGCGGCGGAGGCGGCGGTGGTGGTCGCCGCGGTGGTGGTGGTGGCCGAGGCGGAGGTGGTGGTGGTCGTGGCGGTGGCCGCCTGGGACTCACCCACCAGGACGCAGCCGAGGAGGGCCAGGAAGACAAAGGAGCAGATCTTCATGTTGTGGGACTGTTCAAAGACGAGTGACTGATGCTCTTCGGAAGATCTCCGGGGTTCTTTTATAGTCGGAACTATGGCTCTGTTGACTCCTATTTGCGAATCTTTGTTTAATTAACAATTGGCATTACTTTTTTCTGTTTGGACTGTTTTCGCAAATTGTGTCATTTTGTGGCGGTTACTATTTATTTTAGTTTTTAAGTTTTTTTGCGAGAAGCTTAAGCTTTGCGTGGCGGCTTAGACTTTGACAGGTGGTATGGCCTAGAGTCTAGACTCAAGAGTCTTCTGACTTGGCAGAGTCTTGAATGTTTGAAAAAGAGAATGAGGATCTGGTATCACCTTAAAGTAGTTTGTAAAAAGAAGAGCCTTTCGTAACCTTTTAAGTGAGTGAAGGATAGATTTTCGACCCAATAAGGTATATATATTTCTCTAAGGAACAATCAACATTATATCCTTTTTATAATATACCATAACTAAGGTTTCTTTTTTAGTTAAAATAAATAAATGTGGTTCCACGAATAAATTCTTTATTCAAAGGCTTCCTAACTCCGAAGCACCTGGATCATGTATGGATCCATATATGGACCCAGTTCCCTTTCTCGTAGAAGGACTTATGGTCTAGTGATTTTTTTACCTTGAGGCTTTGGTTAAAATTTTGTATTCTATTCAGTCAGAAATCTATTATCCTAATGTTATAGTCTGAGAGACTGCTGCGCTGCAGGGCAGTGGCATAGAAGAAGCTCGACAGTGTCTTCCTCCACTACGTGGGGTATTGTGGTGTAGCATTCATTCGCCTAGCGTGGCTTCCCACTAGCTTTTCATTTTATTCTTCATTAAAATAGATATTATACTACAAACATCTTTAAAGCCAAGAAATAATTAAAATGTATAAAAATCGATGTATTCGAAAGTATCAAAACTTCAACGGCAGGTGGCGTTTGAAATATATGTACATATGAAATATTAAGTAGCCGCTCTGTTGTCATTTAGTTAATTAATATATAAGATTGTTTTCTTTTTTAATATATATACTATATAAATATATTTATTTTTTCTGAATGCCTTAGAATAAAAAAAAAAAGAATGGTTAGAATTATATAATAAAATAGAGCGAGTCAGTGGTCCGAAGACTCCCCCGGCGAGGCCAAAGACGGACCCCCGTCTTTGTCTGGCTTTGTCTCCGAAGATCTATGGGTTTATCCAGCGATCTGCAGTTTGGGGCCCATTGTTTGGTTTCTTTGGCTAATTGTGCCAAAAGTTTGCCAAAAAAGACGAGAAAGTTGTTGACAAAGACCGAGATCGTTGCCAAATAATTTGGCCATTGTGCTGCTGGAGACGGAGCTGGAGCAATTGTTCAAACAGCCAGGCTGGCATTCTAAAAATTACCAAACATGCAAGATGGAAGAGATGGCTTCTAATTAAAAGTGTGGGGAACTTTGTTGCTGTTTTGCATCACATGTTTTTAGGCCATTTTGGAATAAATAGGCCAGGAGAAGCTGACCCAATTATCAGTTGCAATTCAGCAATCATGAGATACTTGTGCGTTATCCTTCTCCTGGCCATGGTCGGTGTGGTGCGGATCGGTGAGTCCGACGGCGCATCCTCCCCAGCCACAACCTCTGCCTCGGCCACCACCACAACGGCTACCACAACCACCACAACCACGACCACTACCACGGCAGCCCCCGCCAGCGCCAGCGCCACCTCCACCGCCACAAACTCGACATCGACGTCCACCAAAACTAAGAAGAAACGTGTCAGGCACAGTATTAGGCGACGTCGTAGAGGACGCAGAGTTACAAGAATTCATCATCGCATAAATGGCGGTGACGGGGACAGCGATAGGAACCGAATTCGCAGGAACAGGATCACCTCTAGCTACGGTTCTAGTAGTTCCAGGACTAGCAGTCGCAGCGGCAGGCTTCGTAGTCGCCGTGAACGCAGGCTCTCCCGAGCATAGAAGAGTTTGGGAACTAAGGACTATCAAGGACTATTCCCGAACATTCTCCTCAATTTTAATTTTTTTCTAAAAAATTTTTCAAAAGCAAATAAAACATATCGATATGTAAATGATAGTTTTTTTTAAGGGGGTTTTTAGTTTAAAAAAAAATATTTAAAATTTTAGAAAGAAATTCTCTTAAAACTCAATTAGAAAAGTTATAAATATTTAAAACAAAAAAAACCTCCATAATATTCATCTTCAAAGGCTATAGGCTTTCAAACTCCCAATTGCGAATCAGATTTCTTACATTTCACCTTTCACAACCCACGGATATATATATATATACATAAATTCAAAATGCAGACATTGTGGCATTAAATATTTACACCAATGGGCTGGCAGTTGAGTTTTTGCTGGCTTTCCATTGAAAGCCATTAGTAAGGAAAGCGAAAAGTTGACGGCAAAACCCACAAAAGCCCCAAAAGGCAGTGGGCCACAGTTTTGCGTAGAATAAGAGAAAAGTTTTATATCCAAAAAATAAATGAAATTTCTCCTTTCTCTATAGATACTACCCACACACTAATAAAGAGGCTCTTCAAAAATCTAAAGCATAAAAAACAGAGCTTCAATGAAACCACATGAAACAGCGAGTATTTAAGTTAAATAGTTACAATTAAGTCATTAATTATCGGTGAGAAGTACTTAGAGCATAGTTTTAGGCGTCGGACCAAGATGAGCTCTAAAGTATGCACCAAAAATGGGGAAAAAAATACAAAGCAAACCCCTAAAAAAAAAACACACACAAGATACAATATCGCCAAGCAATCGAATCATTTTTTGATAAACCATCCACTTGATAGAGCCATAAAGAGAGCCCGAGCTTCCTGCCCGGTACTTGATATTGATTTTTATTGAGACATTTTGAAAAATTAATGTCTACGATGGGCCAGTGGGAGTATTATTCCCAGGAATCCAGGAAATGCGCCATCGACTTGTCGAATGATGAGCGACATTAATAAATCAATAGCGTTTTGATGGCAAATAATTCGAGAGCAGCCACGGGAATGCTGCAATACGCACAGGACACACAGGGGCACACAACAGGACTCACACACACACACATCCTTTTTGCGATAAACACACACATATACACGAAATATACTAAGGAGGAGTGTGTGTGTTTGGGGCATGATAAGTGACTTGCCAGTGACCAATAAAGGCACACAAAAAAAATTTAGAATTATTTTTAGATATAAATATATATAGATATATGTATAATATAATAAATATTATAATATATACTTGTTATTAAGTGTTTTTAAAATAAATAATATCATTTTTTTAAGGAGTTCTAAAATCTGAAATATTTGTATATTGTAAATATATATTTCTTATGATTATAATGCTTAAACTCTTAAAATTCCTAAATCCTAAAATACAGGAATTTTTTTTAGTATGTTGGAACTGTATAGTATGCACATAAATATATTTCTAAAGATTGCAATTAGTATAAACCTTTATTTTCTGATACTATATATAGAAGGGAATCTGGGATAAAAATAAAAAATGTAAAACCAATAATTGGAAATTTTTTATTTTTTTTCTAAAAACCCTTTTAAAAAAAACCTTTTTATTTCTCACACTTCTAAATAATATCCTCCCTATATAGAGAGTTGACTTTGCAAACTCGAGTCGAGTTATTTTATTGATTGATGTCCAGAAAATCAATTTTTTTTTCTGTTGCTTCTTATGGTCAGAAATAATAAATAAAAAAACACACACAAAAAATAATAAAAAGAGAAAAAGCAAAACAGGGAGGAAAAAAAAACAAGCGAATGCCATTAATTTTGTTGGCTTGGACCCCTACAATGGATCAAATGAAAACACTGACTTGTGTTGCGGACGCAACTCCGTGACACAAAAAGGTCGAAATGCTGGGGAACATCACTGACCTGTTTTCCTCCCCAAAAATAAAAAAATAAAAAAAAGGAAGGCAATTCCAAGTGAATTAATGAAAACGAGATTCGAACTTGAGACTGTGGGGATTTTACGAATGAATTTATTATTTCCGGGATTCATGATTTCTGTTGCAAGGCAGGGTAATTCTAATTAAATATTTCTTAAGATTTGTCTCTCAGATATCTCATTAAATTGCATAATTCCTGTTTTTAGTTTCCTTAGAGTGTAAGAGGGTGTGGGAGGGTGCCAATTAAATACGCAAATACTGGGCTTGGAAACTCAACCCATCCAGTCAAGTAACCGAGTAACAGAAAGCCATCTGACACGTGGCAACATATGGTGGAGCATTTTGATTTATTTGTGATTGTGGCATCACACACATTTGGGAATCGGGTTTTGTGGACCCATACCCATCCTAACAACCACACCTACACCCTTGGACCACCCGTGGTTATGGTGAGAATATTCTCGGTACTCGCCCTCTAATGAGCAATTTAATTATGCACATTGATTGATTGATTCTAATTGCGGGAAGGCGCAAGGGAGTCTGGAGAGTATTTGCTTTTTCCAACTAAAAGTTTGCAGACATTCTCAGGGAAGTGCTTTAAGATATTTTGCATTTTTTTAAAGAATTTAATATAATTATTGTTATTGTTATTTTATTCTTGTTTATTCTGACTCTTTATTATGTCTTTATTATGCCTTTATCTAGTTCACGTTCATATAACTCGACCACCACTTGAGCCTTACTATATGTGATAGTATCTCCCTTTTTTTTTTTTAATTATTTAAAAAAAAATAATTAAACATTTTTCTTTGCAACTTATTTTAAAGCCTTGTTAAGTAATCAACAGTGTTTACCCTTCCAAATTGATGTCAGAATAATATTTAAAACATTCCCCACATGTGTCTAATATTTGTTTCTTTATATTTAACATTTATGTTTAATTTCAGAGACAAAAATATTTTAAAATAAAACTATAAAGAGGGCCTCCACCTGTGGGTGTTTATCTATTGTATTGTATTGACTGAGCAAAGTTCATGATCAATGCCAAAACCAAAGCGTAAAAAACTTTCAAAAATCTAATTAAATATTTAACAAGTAATCCCCCCACAAAAACAATATTTGATTTGTTTAATTTTTGGGAGAAGCGCCTTGAAGAGAGATTCCCTCAATGAACGAAGATGTCACCAAAAATACCAAAATAAATAAATAATAAAATAAATAAAATTAAGAACGTAATTATAAAGCCTAAGAATGAAGGCGCATGTGTGGGCGTCGTTTCAACGACGTTATCATGAACTAATATTATTTATTTTAGAGACATTTGTGTAAATAATTTAACATGAAGCATTCAAGCTCGAAAGGCAAACACTAAATGTTTTGGAACAGTGACGCAAAGAATGAAAAAGACCACCGCTGGTGAAGCTGGCTGGCTGGATGGAAACGAGTATAAATAGTCCAAAACGAGGCCTAAGATTGGCAGTGAAGAAGTCGACTTCTTCCAACCAGAATTACCAAGAAAAAATCAGTCCAACATGAAGCTCCACTGGCTATTGTTTGCCGTTGTCCTGATTTGTGCCCTGCACGGTATATCAAGCACCACCTCCGAGTCCACATCCTCCACATCCACGGAGTCATCCACGGACGCCAGCGACTCCACCAGCACCAGCACCGCTGCCTCCTCCTCATCCTCCTCTTCGGACACCACTGAGGCTAGCAGCAGCAGCAGCGACACTGCCACCTCCGCCAGCTCCTCCAGTTCCTCGTCCAGCTCCTCCAAGAAGAAGAAGTCCGCCGCCGCCAAGAAGCGTGCGGCCAAGAGGCGTGCCGCCGCTCGCAAGAGGCGTCAAGCCAAGAGGCGTGCTGCCGCCAAGAAGCGGGCGGCCAAGCGGCGTGCCAACAGGGGTTAAGCAATTCCCATTCCAGGAGCAGCGATTCCCTCCTCACCAGTCCGATCCTAGCAGAGTAACCTAATTTTTTTTTCCAACTCTCTCTTGTAAGATCCTCTGAAGGACTCCAAATAAATCCGGCTATGATATAAAAATGCAACAACTATGTTTCATTTGGTTGTAAACTTTCTAGTACTGATCTCCGAAGAAGTCTATATCTTTCTCGAATCCCAAACGATCCTTTAGAGGTCTATCTTAACTAGACGTATCTATAACTTAAACAATTTCGTTTTTATCATAAAGGAGAATACCGTAAAAGATTTATAAATGGATTAATGGATCAATTTGCATACAAAAATTGCGAACATTTTGGATCAATATTTTTTCAATTTTCCTGATAGAACTCCTTGTGAAAACCCGAGCCCCCATACAGGCGCCTTACAGAATCAATATCATTGCTAATTCTTAACGGATCCTTACCAGGAATACCTTATAGTAAAATATATATCCATATAATTCGAAATTTTTCTGAAGGAACGCCTTACTGAAGACCAAATCTACACATATGGCCCAGTAACAAGTCTATATCTTTGCCTTTTGATTCTATCCTCAAGCGGAATGTCTTAAAAGCAGCTTTAATGTAAGATGTACATAAATTACCAATATATAAGTTCTTCCAGAGTCTATATTTTGCCGCAAGTATTGAAGTATAACCTTCATTGAAGGCCACATCTTAGAGTCCATAGTGACTATCTGTGGGTGCTGGCTTTTAAGTAAATAATTAGTTTGAAATAAAAGCTAAGCCTTGAAGGTAATTTTTTTGTTGAAAAACATGCAAGGAATTCCCCGTCAATTCTTGAAATGAATTAAAAATTAGAAATACAATTTTTGCCATCGCACGCGCCGAACAAGAAACCACAAAACAATGGCAGTGATACAAAAAACAAGAAAGGAAAGCTAACTTCGGGCGGAGCCGAAGTTGATATACCCTTGCAGTTAAAACCGGATATATATCGCAAACATCGGATTTAGTTGGCCGATCCTTATGATTACATTATAATAAAACCAATTAATTAAATTACAAAATCTAAAAAAAAAGTCCCAAGCTTCTATCGTCAAAAAAAACAAAGTTGTTATTTTTACTAAACACCAAATACCATTTCTGATCGTTCAGTTATATGGCAGCTATAAGATATAGTCGGCCGATCCTTATGAAATTTGGTAGGTTGGATCAACTGACCAAAAATAGAATCTGTATGGAATTCCAGCATTCTATCTTCAAAAACACGAAAGTTGGGTCATTTCCGATCGTTCAGTTATATGACAGCTATAGGATATAGTCGGCCGATCCTTATGAAATTTGGCACATCGTATTGTTTTGCCAAAAATAGCTCTCATGTTAAATTAGAACTTTCTAACTTTAAAAACACCAAAGTTATACCATTTCCGATCAATCAGTTATATGGCAGCTATAGGATATAGTCGACCGATCCCGGTCGTTCCGACTTATATACTGCGTGCAAAGGAAAGAAGGGTGTGTGCAAAGTTTCAAGTCGATAGCTTTAAAACTGAGAGACTAGTTCGCGTAGAAACGGACAGACAGACAGACAGACGGACAGACGGACAGACGGACAGACGGACAGACGGACATGCTCATATCAACTCAGGAGGTGATCCTGATCAAGAATATATATACTTTATAGGGTCGGAGATGTCTCCTTCACTGCGTTGCACACTTTTGGACAAAATTATAATACCCTCTGCAAGGGTATAAAAAGAGAAGAAAATTTTATGGGGCATTTGGAATGAACTGAATCGGTTAGCTTGATTACTTGACCCCGTTGCACATTGTTGTTGCGCCAAGGGTGCCAAGGGTGAAAGGTTAAAGCTGCCACACTCTGCCACACACATATGTATACCCATTTATACCCACAGGAATGTACTTGTATATATGAGTACTGCAATAAAAAGCAACAAGTTGAAAGACCACGCAAGCAAAAAAAAAGCAAAAGCCATCAAGGTTCCTCATTCCACATATGCCATTTGCCCAACCAAACCTTTGGCCCATTCCAATTCCGGATCGGGATCTGGATCTGGGGAGGGTGTATATACTACTACGAGTACTGGTATACTTGGAAGCAAAAACCCCAAAACCCATCAGCAATTCGAGCATATAAAAATGGTTATAACCCAAGAATGGCGGACTGATTTTTTATGACTGAAGCGACAACGACATGGTGGATACTCTATAGGGGAAATAATAATATATGAGAGGGATATCTATATAGGATAATTATATGATATATATAGGGTATTTAGGGTAATTATAATTATCCCTCCTTAGCAGTACTGTAAACCATATACCTGATTTATTAGAGTTTTGGGATAGGGTTTTTAAGTAAAAATATTAAGATTCTTGGGATATATTTTATAATATTAAGAAAAGGTCTTTAAAGTCCTTGAAAAATTCCTTAAAATTGGTATATTGCCAGAAGTACTACAGGGGTATGTATATGAGACCTCTCTAGAAGATCCATAGACCGTTTAAATTTTTTAAATATCTTAGCATACTTTTTGCAGACATTTCCTTTTAGTATTTTTTTGTAATAACCCCCTTTCAAAAACCAAATCCCACCTATCATAAACCCCTATATCATTCCCCTTAAAATTCAATTTTAAACCAAAATTTGTACATAATCATAATACTCTTTAGTTAGTTAAGGGTATTCAGTTGGAAAACAATAACAAGCAGCAAACAGCATTGCAAACGTAATACAATGGGCACAACTGTTGCTGTTCGGTGTTCGGTATTATACTACTCTTCCATATATAGTATAGCATTGAGGGAGAGGCCAGATATCGGTGTGAAAGAAAGAAAGAGAGAGAGAGAACAATAAAGGCATGGCAAGTGACATTCGTCTTCCAGACAAAGAAAGAGACGGCAACGGCAACGGAGTGGAAAATACAGAAGAAACTCACAAACAGAATCCAAGCGAAAACAAAAGGGCATATGTTTTGTTCTTCTGGGATGCTGATGGCAGATGGCAGAAGTGAAAGAGACGGAAACAGGGTGTTAAAGACACTGAGAGAGAGATAGGTATACCCAAGGAGCTTGAAAGTATGCTTTAAAAAATGTTCAAACTTAATTTTTTTTTGAAATTTCTTGAGATTTTTAGATTCTGATGTATATCATAGTTTTTTAAATAAATTTTAGATATATCTTTATATATACTTGTATATCCTTGCATATATTTTTATATCCTCTCCCCCAGGACACCCTGTATTTATGTATATTGATATGCTGCGCTTTGTGGCCATTGATGTTGATATGCTCGACGTGACTTATATTATATGTACGCACATCATGTTTTTTTTCTCCCCCCCATCTGAGGACTGAGAAGGCATCGAAAGAGACAGGACTTGTGGCAATAGAAAAGGAGAGGGCGAATGCCATACAATTACGCCTTGTTTGTCCGTGACTTGTTCTTCTTTATATATTCTAAGTTTTTTTTTTGTCTGGTTCATATTATTGTTATTGTTACGAGGCCCAATTCTTTGGAAATTTTGGCTTACTGCTTATTATTTTGCAAATACTTCAGGCCATCATCAGAGCCGCCCACAAAGTTTATTTTATTTTTTTGAAAAACACTATATAAGCTCCTTGGATATGTTGGGGCTGTGAGGCTTAAAATTTTGAAAGTTGACGAGTGACAAGTGTGTGTATTAGTTGAGCTCCACAACACAAAAAAAAAATAAGAGGGCTTAGATCAACAAGTGGGTGGATGTACAACAGAGCTATATCCTTATAGTCAGGCTAAAGTCATTCTCTTATAAAAGAACCTTTAAAGTAATATTAAATACTCCCCCCCGTCAAGGTCAAATAAAAAAAGCCTCTGGCTAAAAGTCAGGGAAAAGTCAAGTTCACGAACATTTCGCCATGAAAGGCCATTGCCGGGGACAAAGTTATATTGCCTGGGGTTAAGCAAACCGACTTGGGGCTTACTTATGTCAAGTTTGGTTACACTTCAGTTCTTGGTTAGAGGCTCCGCCCTCCCCCATGTCCTGGGAGAAACAATTAGTTTAGCTGGAAAAAGTCTCCATCCGAATGGTCTGTTTTTGGCCAAATTGCTTTCCCTAATTTGCTTTTCTTTCTCTTATTTTTATTATACCCTTGCAGAGGGTATTATAATTTTGTCCAAAAGTGTGCAACGCAGTGAAGGAGACATCTCCGACCCTATAAAGTATATATATTCCTGATCAGGATCACCTCCTGAGTTGATATGAGCATGTCCGTCTGTCCGTCTGTCCGTCTGTCCGTCTGTCCGTCTGTCCGTCTGTCTGTCCGTCTGTCTGTCTGTCCGTTTCTACGCGAACTAGTCTCTCAGTTTTGAAGCTATCGTCTTGAAACTTTGCACACACCCTTCTTTCCTTTGCACGCAGTATATAAGTCGGAACGGCCGGGATCGGCCGACTATATCCTATAGCTGCCATATAACTGATTGATCGGAAATGGTATAACTTTGGTGTTTTTAAATTTAGAGACTTCAAATTTAACATGAGAGCTATTTTTGGCGACAAATTACGACATGCCAAATTTCATAAGGATCGGCCGACTATATCTTATAGCTGCCATATAACTGAACGATCGGAAATGACCCAACTTTCGTGTTTTTGAAGATAGAAAGCTGGAATTTGCTACAGATTATATTTTTGTTCAGTTAATCCGACCTACCAAATTTCATTAGGATCGGCCGACTATATCCTATAGCTGCCATATAACTGAACGATCGGAAATGGTATTTGGTAGAAATATCAACTTTCGTATTTTTGAAGATAGAAGCTTGGGATTTTTTTTTAGATTTTTTATTGTAATTAATTGGTTTTATTATGATGTAATCATAAGGATCGGCCAACTATATCCGATGTTTGCGATATATATCCAGTTTTAACTGCAAGGGTATATAAACTTCGGCTCCGCCCGAAGTTAGCTTTCCTTTCTTGTTTTTATTTATTTTGACTTT